TAGCTGTATATTCTCCAGCTATACTTGGGCCTTTGTTGCTTTGGTTACGTAACCTTTACCTATCTTTGGGTGTCTGTATTCTCTCCAACCAACCTCAGTGTCTTTTGATTTGTTTACATATCCTCCAGCTGAGGTGACATACCTTTCAGCCATCCACTGTGTTAAGGTATACTAAATCTTGTCTTGAGGTGGCCTGCGCTTATGTTCTGTTCCTGAAACTATGCAGTCTTTGGATTATTTTCTCTTCAACTATGCCAGAGTAAGTTTTATTCATCAGTGACTATAGATAATGCATGTGAGTAATGAGGAAGTTTTAAGGAAAATGAAAACAAAACAGACTCTTATACTTAGGATTAGAAAGAGACAGCTGAAATTTCTAGGACACATAATGAAGAAAGAGCACTTGGAGAATATAACACTCACAAGACATATCAAAGGCAAGATGGACAGTGATAAACAGCAAGTAACCTTCCTAACAAGCTTGTTAAAAACATAGTTGTCAGATCAGAGACTGGGAGTGATAGTGAAAAGACAAATACTGCTAAGAGCTAAAAAGGATAGGAAGTTGTAGAGAGCTATGACCACCAATGTCCTGTAGGGACATGACACATAGAAGGAGACCATAAATTACCTTTTCAATGATTTTGTGAATGAGATGAGGAAGAAGTCTAAATTTAAAAAAAAAAACGTTTGTTTTATTAAAATGTTAAAAATTTGCATGTATTGACAAAGCCAGAGAATTAATATCCAAATTTATTGCCGTTTCAAGTTCATTATAAACGGAGTTCATAATATCTGATCTTAACTTTATTTGTTGTTTTTCATTTAACAAAGCAGTTATTAAAGAAGAGTAATGGATAAAGTCTGTGTTTCCATTTTAACAAATGATGAATATTTCAAATTCAACAGCTTCCTTTTTAGCATAAAAGATCCATATTTCAACCAGACAGGAATTTATGACATTCTCAATACAAAGCATGTTCAACTTTAACCTCTTGAACATTTCTGGTATTGCACAAAACTAAATGAAGAAAACAATATGACAAAAACAATAGAGCGATAATTGACTGCCTTTTAGTAAATTTGCTGCAAAAAATATTTATGGTGTTAAACTGACAGCTTGTAAAAAGATTAAAATTGCTGGTAATGTTAATGAACTGAATACATCATTGCTTTCGTACAAACACACATATTTATTGAATGATTCATTTTATATGGCTTAAGAACCTTTTTCAAGTTATTTAAAGCCAGAAAATATTGTAACAGAAGAGAACTATGGAAGAAAGACTTATTCTCCCATTTGTATTTCCCCCATTATGGGCATTATTTATCAGTGATATAACACCGTAGTTCATGGGTGGAATATCTGAAAAGAAAAGTAATGACAAACATGCTTTGTTCTCAGAGAAACTTTTATACTACTACACAGAACTATATATATGTAGTGAGTCCCGATAAAAATGTATAAACAAAAACAAACAATTCAAATTAAAATAAGGCATCACTTTCTTTTTCTCTCTCTATCTCTGAACTTCTCTTTCTATACTTCTCTAAACTAATAGGAAAGCAACCCACAAATAAAAAAAAAAGGAAAAGACTGAACTTGACCGAAAAACAATGGAAGTTTGCAGGAGGCTGCTTATTTGTGGCTGAAAAATACCAAAAATCAAAGCTGCTCCACACAAAACTTCTGTTATAACAAAAATGGAAAAAAAAAGAACCCCAGAAAATTGGCCATACCAATCAAAAAAATTGACACAAAGAGACTTTTGATGTTAGCCGATACCAATGTTCCCAACAGAATCTTGGAGCCTGGTTAAAAGTATAAAAGCTAACACATTTGGGTTAGAACTGGTGGGAGGACAGAACAAAAGACACAATCCTAGAGAAATCAGACATGCATAATTTGTGAAGAAGTGGTTAAGAGGTCATCTATTAATTATATTTCTGTCCTGATCGGGGCTGAGAAAAACACTGTAAATTGATACTGAACTATTTTTAAGATTATTACTGCCTCTATCAAGTGCTGACTTTCAAAAGCTCAAATACCCGGCTGAAATGGACATTTCTCCAGACAGCTACCAATAGCTGCCTCATTAACAAATTTTTTGCTACACTAAATACCAAAGGACACACTCATCACTCTAAAAAAGACAAATAAAAAAAAATATTATTTAATTTGAAACCCTTGAGTCAGTTCATTTTATTCAAGAGTTTACAATAAAGAAAATCCTACCTACTACACAATAACTACATATACATATATGCAAGTGTCTCATGTGGTAAACAATATATCATATATATCTACAGAGAAAAAGCAGAGTGTAAGGAGAAACAAAAAAGAAAGGTCTTACATATAATATGGAGATACTCCTGTGTCTGGAGAAGCCATGTTTAGGACTCCACATTTAAACGGGCCAGATTCATCTACTCTGTCCCAGGCAAGAACATATTCCATGAACAGGAAACAGTGAAGCCTTGGGTATTCACAAATTTGAGGACTGTGAGCTGGAGTTTCTTTCTATGTCTGGGAAAGATATATTTCCAAAGGGAAACAGCACCATGGACTTGTAAGCTGGGGAGACAGATTTAACTTCTGCCTGGGCCGGGGTGTGGTGAACACTAAAGAAAGCAACCTTTCAGTTTGGCTGCTATAAACAAAACTCAAACTGACTGCTGCTTTTGCCACTGTATGGAGTGACATCACTAAGTGACCATCATGTAACCCATGTGACTTATCTCCACCATAGGGAGATAAGTCTCTGTATCCTTACTGGGATTATAATAAATCAAGTAAAACATAATAAAACACTAAACAAAGTACCTTGTCAGTCTTGTTGAATGAAACATTTACTAAAGAGGGACTGCTGCCTCAAAACATAACTAGACACATATATATATACACAGTTAGCAAACCTATTTGCAGATACATATATATATATATATATATATATATATATATATATAAATATAAAATAAAGAATTAACTACATTTATGAATATATTTCAAAATATACATTCTATCGGATTCCATTTACACTTGCTTATATATATATATATTTTTATATATATATATATAAAGTGAAAATTTTATCATTGGTTAGGCTTTTTGTAAAACCAAAGAAATTTTAGTAGGTGTTAGTGAAAACCAAATAACTGTTATTCATACAATTTTTCTTTGATATTTTTTCACCAGAATTCTTTGGTGCGTACCAATAACGATCAAGCAATATCAAGTTTTCTTCATGTTCAACAAATTTCCCAATATTCTTGTATTCTCCAGTTGATTGCTAAATTTCCGTTTTCACTTCAGTCTTTGAGAGACTTTTCTACAAAATAATCATAGTGACAACAAAAAAAGAACATTATTATTATTCCCAAAGGTTTTGAAGGAATTGTATCTTTAATTATTTTACTGTAGAAACACTGCAACTTATTTCACAAGATAAATTTAAATGTAAAGGATTTTAGTATAGAGATAGAGATGCATTGAAAATCAAGAAGTCACTGACTTTCAGTATTCTGGAATTAATGTAAGTATTATTGATAGAATAATGTTATAAAGATGATTTTTTTTACAAATATTCACATTACAAGGCTCAAGAGCTACTCAAAGTAGAGAGGTAACTGAATGATGTATGTGATATGAACTTAAGAGGAGGAAGTAGGAAGTGAAGATTATAAGGATGTGGTGGATAGCTAACGACTGACTGTAGACTTGAAGAGATTAAGATTGTAGTGTTTGGTGAAGTATCCATATGGGAATCTCTTCCAGAAAGCAGCAGTTCTTTGAAAGAAGCTGTCTGAGTAAAACTTCCTTTTTTATGAATGGAATATGTGATATGAGTGTGATTCATTATTGTCAACATAGCAAGGTGGGTTTTGACTGTGAAGGTCAAAACTGGTGGTACTAAAGAATAGACCTTGTTTGAACATTTGCTATGGAAACCAAGATAGAATAATGATAGGCTTGAGATGTTGCATCTGTATGAACGGGGTTGTATATTAGAAAATAAGTCATCACTCACAAGGATGATTTTGAACTGTCAAGGTTTGAAAGTGAAGATAGGGCAGCTCTTATGCAGATATGGCCGACATACTTCGTTTTTGGCCAAATCTAATCCTTGCAAAGGTAAAGAAGGGCAGGAGTCAGGTACCTTCTTGATGTAATGGAATAACCAGTCACCCCTATGAATGATTACACTATAGGTATACCTATAAAGTCAACTTTCTACGAGAGACTGGGGGAAGAGTGAGAGAGAGAGAATAGTTCTTTCTTCTGTTCTTCACTGTCAAACTCTTTACCTTGAGCAGAGAGGAATCCAGACAAGGCTTTGCTGAAGGGTAAAGTTTCATCCAGGGAGGTAGACAGACCCTGAACCCACTTATGTAGGTCCTAAGGGAATATTTTTGGCCGAGCCTACAGGCTCGGAGAACCCACGGTAAACTCGGCCTTGTGCCACATACATCATTCGTGGGAGGGCTGTTAAATATTAAGAGTAAGAGAGAGACGACACAAGCATGTCCAATTTTCCAATTAGTGGCACTCACTACTAGATTGACCTGTGTGTATAACTGTACCGTATTTCATATTGTACTGGTTGTGTACAATAAACCATTATTATTATCCACCTGGTGTTAAGTATTTATTCTCTTAGCACGGAATATAACACTTCTAAAAAGGTACAAGGAGTCAATTATTTTTCAAGTATATTCAGCAATGGATCATAAATATGTGCTTCACTTGAGGTCTTGCACAAACTTGAATTCCACTAGATGTTCAAAGCAAGTAACCTTTAAGATTTTTATCATGACTGGAGAATATTCAGGGTCTGCTCAGTGATGAAAGAACTTCACAAACTTGGCTTAGCAAGTTTTCCCCCCATTGAGCTGTTAGAGCTTGATCAGAGGAAAGATCTGCTGCCAGGCTCTGATCAGTTTGGTATCAATCAATGTTTTAAAGGTTTACTTCAAACAAAGGGATTTATTTTGTTTAGTTAATGAAGATCAGTCTATTTATTATCTTAGTCTATTCATTATCTATCTCAGTCTATCCATTTTCTATCTATCTATCTATCTATCTATCTATCTATCTATCTATCGCAATATCTATCTATCTATCTATCTATCTATCTATTCATTATCTATCTATCTATCTATCTGTTCATTATCTATCTATCTATCTATCTATCTCAGTCTGTTCATTATCTATCTATCTATCTATCTATCTATCTATGTATCTCAGTCTGTTCTATTATCTATCTATCTATCTATCTATCTATATCTATCTATGTATCTCAGTCTGTTCATCTATCTATCTATCTATCTATCTATCTCAGTCTGTTCATCCATCCATATCCATCCCAGTCCGTTCATTATCTCCATTCATCTATCTATCTCAGTCTGTTCATTATCCATCCATCCATTATCTATCTATCTATCTATCTCATCCATCCATCATCTATCTATCCATCCATCTATCATATCTCAGTCTGTTCATTATTATCTATCCATCTATCTATCTCAGTCTCCTAATCCATCTATCCATCATTCATCATTATCTATCCATCCATATCTCAGTCTGTTCAATATCATCCATCTATCTATCTATCTATCTCAGTCTGTTCATTATCTATCTATCTATCTCCATCTATCATTATCTATCCATCTATCTATCTATCATCTATGTTCATCATCTATCTATCCTATCTATCTCAGTCTGTTCATTATTCATCCATCTATCTATCTCAGTCTGTTCATTATCTATCTATCTATCTATCTATCAGTCTGTCTGTTCATTATCTATCTATCATCTATCCTATCTATTCATCTATCTATCTATCTATCTATCTATCTGTCCAGTCTATCATTATCTATCCATCTATCTCAGTCTGTTCATTATCTATATCATCTATCAGTCTGTTCATTATCCATCATTATCTATCATCTATCTATCTGTTCATCTGTTATTTTATCCTATCTTCTATTATTCATCTATCTATCTCAGTTCATTGTATCTATCTATCTCAGTCTGTTCATTATCTATCTATCTATCTATCTCAGTCTGTTCATTATCTATCTATCTATCTATCTATCTATCTCAGTCTGTTCATTATCTATCTATCTATCTATCTCAGTCTGTTCATTATCTATCTATCTATCTATCTCAGTCTGTTCATTATCTATCTATCTATCTATCTATCTATCTCAGTCTGTATCTATTGTCTGTTGTTATCTATCTAATCTATCTCAGTCTGTTCATTTTTTATTTCTATTATCTATCTATCTCCATTCATCTATCTATCTCAGTCTGCCATTATCTATCCATCCATCTATCTCAGTCTGTTCATTATATCTATATCTAAGGAGTCTGTTCATTATCCATTCTATTCATCTATCTCAGTCCATCTATCTATCTATCTATCTCAGTCTGTTCATTATCCATCCATCTATCTATCTCAGTCTGTTCATTATCTATCTCAGTCTGTTCATTATCTATCTATCTATCTCAGTTTATTATTCATCTATCCATCTATCCATCTAAATATCTCAGTCTGTTCCATCTATCTATCTATTCATCTATCTCAGTCTGTTCATTATCTATATCATCATTCATCCATCTATCTCAGTATGTTCAGTCTATCCCCATCTATCTATCTATCTATCTATCAGTCTGTTCATTATCTATCTATCTATCTATCTCATCTGTTATCTCAGTCTGTTCATTATCTATCTATCTATCTATCTCATCTCATCTATCATCTATGTTCATTATCTATCTATCTATCTATCTATCTCAGTTCATTATTATCTGTATCTCAGTCTGTTCATTATTCATTCATCTATCTCATCTATCTCAGTATGTTCATTATTCATTCATCTATCTATCTCAGTCTGTTCATTATCTATCTATCTATCTATCTCAGTCTGTTCATCTATCTATCTATCCATATCCATCATCTATCTATCTCATATCCATCTATCTATCTATCTCAGTCTGTTCATTATCTATCCATCTATCTATCTCAATCTGTTCATTATCTATCTATCTATCATCCATATCTCAGTCTGTTCATTATCTATCCATCCATCTATCTATCTCATTATCCATCCATCATTATCATTATCTATCTATCTATCCCAGTCTGTCTGTTCATTATCCAGTCCATCATTCCATCCATCCATCCGTCCATTATCCATCTATCCCATCTATTCTGTTCATCTATCTATCTATCTCATCTGTTCATTATCTATCTATCTATCTATCTCAGTCTGTCCATCTATCCTATCTATCTATCTCATCTCATCTATCCATCATCTATCTATCCATCTCCATCCATTCCATTATCTATCCATCCATCCAGTCCCAGAGTCCATTATCTATCTATCCATCATCCATATCCATCCCAGTCCGTCCATTCCATCCATCCATCCATCCCAGTCCGTTCATTATCCATCCAATCCATCCATCCATCCGTTATCCATCATCCATCCATCCATCTATCTATCCATCTATCTCATCCATTCCCATCCATCTATCTATCCATCCTCATCTGTTCATCATCTCAGTCTGTCCATCTATCCATCCATCTATCATCCTATCCATCCATCCATCTCAGTCTGTTCATCATTATTCATCTATCTATCTATCTATCTATCTATCTATCTATCTAGTCTGTTCATTATCTATCTATCTATCTCAGTCATCCATCCATCCATCCTCAGTCTGTTCATTATCTATCTCATCTATCTATCATCTATCATTATATCATATCCATCTCAGTCTGTTCATTATCTCATCTATCTATCATATCTATTATCTATCTATCTATCTCATCCATCTATCAAATTTATCTATCCATCTATCTATCTATCTATCTATCTATCATCCATCTATATCTATCCCAGTCTGTTCATTATCTATCATCCATCTATCTATCTATCTATCCTATCTATCTATCTATCTATCTATCTATCTATCTCAGTCTGTTCATCTATCCATCTATCTATCTATCTCAGTCCATCATTATCTATCTCCATCTGTTCATTATCTATCTATCTCATCATCTCAGTCTGTTCATTATCCATCTATCTATTCATCTATCTATCTATCTATCTATCTATCTATCATCTATCTATCCAGTCTGTTCATTATCTATATCTATCTATCTATCTATCTATCTCAGTCTGTTCATTATTCATCTATCTATCTATCTCAGTCTGTTCATTATCTATCTATCTATCCATCTATCTATCATTATCTATCTATCTATCTATCTATCTATCTATCTCAGTCTGTTCATTATCTATCTGTTCTATCTATCTATTATCCATCTATATCCATCTATCTATCTCAGTCTGTTCATTATCTATCTATCCATCATTATCCATCTATCATTATCTATCTCATCTATCTATCTATCTATCTATCTATCTATCCATCTATCTCAGTCTGTTCATTATCCATCTATCTATCCATCATCTATCTATCTATCCATCTCAGTCTGTTCATTATCCATTCATTCATCTATCCCATTCATCTCATTCATTCATCATCTATCCTATCATCCAGTCTGTTCATTATCTATCCATCTATCTATCTATCTCAGTCTGTTCAATATCCATCTATCTATCCATCCTCAGTCTGTTCATTATCTATCATCCATCCATATCTATCTATCCCAGTCTGTTCATTATCTATCTATCTATCCATCTATCCATCCATCCATTCATCATTATCATTATCTATCTATCCATCTATCTATCTATCTCAGTCTGTTCATTATCTATCTACCTATCTCAGTCTGTTCATATCTATTGAAGATAGGATTTTTGGAAAGTGAAAAATTGAAATACATTATTTTAATCACTAAAATTACTTTCAGGTTCATTAGGTATCTATCTATTCATGGTTCATCTATCTAGTCTCTTCACAGCTATTCCTCTGTTCATTATCTATTGTTGCCCAAATCTATCTATCTACATTTGATTAGCAAAATATGTCTTTCAAAAAGTAAGCAAAATATTAAGAAATAGGAATTAAAAAAACAAAAAAGTGAACTGATATATATCTAATCTCCAATATGGCACAGAATGCCAAAAAAATTTCTTCTCACAGTTGAAGCAAAGAGATTTCCATCATCATCTCATCCTTCATTAATCTATCTTCCTATCTATCTGGTCGGAACTATCCATTGACATCTATCCTATTATCTATCTACACTTGTTCAGACCATTTTTTATTATCTATCCTCAGATCCCCAATATACAACCCTGAGTCCTGAGCTATGGTGTTTGGGAAAGAGGAGACTTAAAGGCAACAGGGATGTGGTTCTACAGAAAGATGCTGAGAATACCATGGTTAGAACATGTGAGCAATGTGGATATTTAATCTGTCTCAATCTTTTCATATCTATCTATCTACCTATCTATGCCAAAACTTACATTTACCCTAATGATTACATATAGTAGTAGATTATATAAAAACATTTGATAGAGTACATCATGAAGAACTATTTGAACTGCTGGGTAAACTTGATTTATTTAGGAAAGATATTAGAACAATCCAGAACTTAGACAGGAAGTAAACTGTCTGCATATGGATAGAAATTGAATTCAGTATAAAAACAAAAATAGAAAGGGGCATAAGACAAGGATGTGTCTTCTCACCAGACTTCTTCAAACATGACAGTGGAACAATCCTGAGAGAGAAGTCCTACCAGGATTCATTATTGTTGGCCACAATCTTAACAATATAAGATATGCAGATGGCAATGTTTACAGGAGATGTAGAAAGGAAACTACAGGAACTCCTGTAAAGGAAAGCATGAAAAAAGGACTAAGTAACAATTGTAAGAAGAGAGAGTGTATGGATAAAAAGAACAACCAAAAATACAAACAACAAATTGAAGGACTAAAATCAAGCAAGTACAAAAATTTAAATATCTGGGACATGTTTTAACAGAGGATGGAAAATGCGACACCAAAATCCGAAGGTGAATTGGGATAGTGAAAGATGCCTTCCAAAAGCTATGAAAGGTATTAAGAAACAGGAAAATCCAACAAATACAAAAATTTAAATATCTAGGAAATGTTTTAACAGAGGATGGAAAATGCATTGCTGATATCCAAAGGCATATAGGCATAGTGAATGATATTTTTCAAAAGTCAAGCAAAGTATTAAACATCAGGAAAGTTTTGTTAGAAACAAAGAAGAAAATGATCAGTTATTATTATGTAATATCAATCTTCTTATATGGCAATGCATGCTGAACAATTTCATCATAAATGAAGAAGAGACTTGATAAAATAGAAATGTGGTTCTCCAGAATGATGCTAAGAATACCCTGGAACGAACATGCAAGTCATGAGAAAGTTTTAAAGAAAAATGGAAGCAAAAAGGACACTTATACTTCAAATCAGAAAGATATAATTGAAATGTATGGGATACATAATGAGAAAAAAAGGCTTGGAAAATTTGACACTTTCAAGACATACTGAAGGCAAGCGGGAAACAGACCGAACTAATTTGTTGAACAGAGTGGAGGAGCGGTAGTAAAAAGACAAATGTTACTAAGAGCTACAAAAGATAGGACGTTGAGGAGAGCAATGATTGTCTATGTCCTGAAGAATAAGTCTGGTTGAACATTACTGTTGAGTTCTATGTTCAGACCTGCCTGAGTGCTCTATACAAAAATTTGATATTAGATAATCCAAGAAAGATTAACATAAAATAAACGAATATAAGAGCAATGGGTAGACATACACCCTTGTGCAAATTAATTGAAACAATGCTTTAGTTTCCTTTCTTTCACTATATGGTCAGTTTTAGACCCACTGAAGTGACAATCAATTTAAATTTTTACCTCAGATTAAGTCATTTACAGTAGTGTGTAGTAATATGAATCTATTTTCGGAGTGTATGATGAAATCTGTTTAACCTTGAAAAATACTGCAGCATCCATGATTGCATCAGATTTTTGTCACACCCAGACACTATTGTCTCGACTGTCAATTAGTTGTCTTACAGCCACTGTCTGTGATGGGCGTTACTCCAAGGAAGCGTACAAAAATTGTAACGTTGCATGAACACACTGGCAAGCCTTACCAGTGAGCAAACCAAAGTACTATAGACTGGCTGAGAAAATCTGATTTAAATCCAACTGAGAATCTGTGACCAATCTACAAGGAATAACTTCATGGAAAAGACATGTGAAGTACTAACATATACACTGGGTCATGTTTCACTGGAAAAATATGAAAAAAAGTAAATAATAACGGAATTATTTGTTTTGTTTCAGTTAATTTGCACAAGGGTGTATTTTCCAAGAAAGACAGTCTATATTAAAATGTAAAATTAAATATTGGGGAAAGTAAAGATTTTTGTTCTATTTTTATAATTTGATGATCATATTCACTTTTATTTTTAAATGAATTCTTTTGAAAAGATTTTATCTTTTGTTTTGCTCATGTCGTGACAGCTGTTATGTGAGCATGCATTTAAAAAATTATCAAAATTGTTGTATTTTTGTGCATTGATTATAACATTGAAGAAAATAAACATCATGAAGGTTTTTAATTTTTTTAGCTGAGGGAAATAATTGACGATAAAACATTCAGAAAAAGAGTTAAAAAAAAAAGCACAAAATTCGATCATGATAATATGAGACCTGTTTCTTTGGTGACCAAACAAAAAATTATTACATGAAAGTTTTTCCTCAAACAACATAAGCACCAATAATTTCTTTGGGTTTTTACATTAAAAAAGTACTGTAGATCTATCTATCTATCTATCTATCTATCTATCTATCTATCCCAGTCTCCTTGGGTCTCATCTCAGGTATTTCATATCTATCTATCTATTTATCTATCTATCTATCTATCTATCTATCTATCTATCTATCTATCTATCTATCTATCCCAGTCTCCTTGGGTCTCATCTCAGGTATTTCATATCTATCTATCTATCTATCTATCTATCTATCTATCTATCTATCTCAGTCTGTGAATCTGGAGTATTACACATTCTTGTATGTATACAATGGAATTTACTTGTGGTAGACCAACAGTTGCTTTTATGATTTATTTTGCTTTATGGTATATCAAACTCAAAGGGTTATTTACAGATTGTGACTGCTATTAGGGAGATGTGATTAAATATACTTTAATATTTTAAAAATATTTATTCAGTGTTATTATTGTTTTGGTTAATAAGAAAGCTATGTTGTGGAAAAAGGAATTTTCGACAATATGCGCATTTTTTATGTATTTATGTTGATTTTTTATTTAAGGCTATTTTTTAAAAACAGCATTCATGTACATATATTTATGAATAATATAATATATTAATTACTAATTGTTTTAATTAAAAAACTATTTCTGCTTGGTTGGTGACATTACCTGCTGATGTGTTAAAATTTTGGAATAATGCAATAATAAATAATATTTCTGGTAGATGTCACAATCTGTTGATACCAAGAAGATTTTTAGGATAGGTTTGTATGAATAGAATATGTATTCTTTGTAAGAAATCAGTTTCTACATCAGAAATCATTGACATATTTTTGTAAAGAGGGTTTTTGTCGAAAGGCAAATGTATTGATGATATATTTTTAAAAAATATATTGCTGGTATTTTTACTATAAAAATATATTTTTATACTTTCATAGTATTTTGACGCCAGTTTGGGGGTTACCCATAGCTGGGACCCTAACAGGTGCTACCACCCCGGGTAAGGGTAGACCTGGGAACAAAAGCAATTAAGAATTGTTTCCCTGCTCTCTAAACCCTGATAAGAGGCCTTGCTGCCAGACATAGTTTATCATCATACCAAGGACAACCAACAGTTGTAAAATGTTGCCATAAAATTAAAGTTATATTCAGTTATACAATGAATTTTCTTTTAAATCATTTCACTCCAAGCAAGGCAATAAAACCCCTAAGACATGAGGGGTTACTGAGTGTGAAAGAATAAGAGAAAAAGAAAAACATTATAAAAGCAAGAGAACAATAAAAAGAACAGAAATTAAGAAGACAAAATCTAATGATTGACACTGCTATATATTTAAAGATTCTTGACAAAATCCAAAGAGTCTGCTATTATTAGTCAGTTATTGACCCTGACCTAGCATCTTGGCTCTTGTCACATTTCCAGCACTGTAAAGTAGCTTCCCTGTTCCTATTTGTAGATAGAATTTTGTGGTAACACTTCTGATGCACTTTCTACTTTGCTACCTTGACTTTCTGAATTTAAGTGCAGTACTGGATTGGTAGTTAGGGCACATCATTTATAGTTGAAATGGCTAGATGTAACCTTAACAGTTTTCTTCTCTCGCACTTCTTGCTTGTTGAACTCTTTTCCAGTTTCTTGCTTTCTAATCAACTTTGATCTTCAAAAATTTAAAAGCAATGCCAATTGTCATCTTTTGTCTCATTGAACCATTTATTCTCCTCTCTTCTTAATAATGACTTTTCTCATATTCTTTCACACACAGTAACTCCTTGTGTCTTAGGAGCTTTATTGCCTTACTTGGGATGAAATGAAGTAAAAAAAACAAAAAAACAGTCATGATTTTACCTTCAAAGTGGTTTAACAATTCAAATAATGAAAAAAAAAATGAAACTTTGACCTGTTATTTTTTCTTGCCAGACTATATTTAGAGAAGGTCAAATGAAAAAAATAAGAGATGAATTCAAAACAGCAAAGAATGTAGGAAAGAATAATAGACAAGGAATAAAAAGAAAGAAATGTAGAAAGAACAAAAAAAATGCCACACAATTGAATCTCAAAAGAAACTTTTTCTAATTTTGGTACTTGGAAGCTTCCATAGTTTTTTGGGGTTTTTTTTGCAAGATGTCTGTGAGAAATTTTAGCAATTCCATCTCTAGTGATGCTTTGTCCTGAGCTCCCTGGCAGAGTTCGAGAAGTGCCTTCAGTTTAATACATAGTTGATAAATTGTTGACAACAACTCATATCCATTGTGAACTTGTGACCCTCTATGAAGCTAATAGTTTTATGATAGGATGATCTATAGAACAAACTGGGATTTTTTCCAAAGAAAGTCTGAAACAAAGAGAAAAAAAGAGAGAAAAAAGGGCTTATTTAACAAAGGAGGTATATCAAAGTAGAAAAAAATGTAGAGTGTAATAACTAAAGGAGTGAAGCTATGTGTTCTTCCTGGTGTTTTGTAAGTGATAGTAAGATTAATCTATTCAAATAAAACTAATCAGAAATATCAGCCATTATGAAAGCAAAGCATTATGGGTAATATGATTGAAAGTTGCAATAAAGAAAAGAATTTCAAACTTAGAAATTTTTTAAATTCTACAAAGAACAAAAAATGTTAGGAAAAGACAACAATGGAATTAAGAAAAAGACAAGTAGACACAAGATTAAATTAAGAAATTTCAGTAAAATAATAAAGACTTTAAGATAAATGTTAAAAAGAAACAGCAAATTCATAAAAAGGGTAAAATTTAAAACAAGAAAAAGAAAAACAAGAAAAAAAGGAAGTAAGAAAGAACAAAATGAATTCGGATTAAAAACAAAATCTTAATCAAAAAAACTGTAAGACAGAAAAAAAAGAATTAATTTTGTTTATAAATTAAAAAATATTAACACCAGCCAAATATATATGTGTTGTGTGTGTGTGTGTAAATATATAGAAAAATAGGAAAGAACACGTTAGGTAAATAATCCAAAGTTCTTTAGTATTTTTGTTTATATTTTTAAAAAAACGTGCTCAATACAAAAGTAGAGCCTAAAGTAGAGAGAAGGAATCATATTTTAAAAAAAATTATAAATATAATATAAAAATATATATATATATATATATATATATATATATATATATATATATATATATATATATATATATATATATATATATATATATATATATATATAAAATAAGGGTGAATAAATTTTTTGAAAGATGAAAATTTAGAAAAATATAAAAATGGAAATAAAGAAAACTAAAAGTAAAAAAGAAGAGAAAAGGAAAGATAATTGGGAAAAAGAAAAAAAAAACTGTAAGACTTAAAACGAAAAACATTAAATACAAAACAAGATGAAGGAAAAAATATATACAATTTATGAGTGTTTATTGGTCATAAACATAAATCATTTCAAATGAAAAATTATCATTAGTGACAGTTTAAAATGTAAAAAAAATAAAATGAAAGCCCCCCCCACAAAAAATGAGTAAAATATTAAAAAATTAAATAAAATAAGAATAGAATCATGAATGTATTGGAAGACAGACATAGTGAAAACACTTATAAAAAAGACAAAGTCCCTCTTTTAACACTTGTGAAAATTAAATAGTATTCCAATACAAATTTGATTTGAAAGGTGTCATAACAAAATATAGAAAATCAAAAAACGAAAAAAATTTGATCAAGTTCTAGACATAAAATTATAAAGCTGATTTTTAAATACAAAATGTACAACTGATAGTACGGTACGCACATCTTTAATCTGGCATTCCAGGGTCTGGCACATCTCATGGTCTGGTACTTTTTTTTTAATAAGCTGCCATTAGTTCGATGAGCAGCTATGAAGACAGCACCACACGTTATTTACAACATTCCACAGCAAGAGAGTGTTTTAGTGATACAGTTTTGCTCATTCTTATTTATAGCAGCATATTTACCGATTCAGGATAGGGAGTATATATTATTTCCTGGTTTTAGTCTTTTTTAGACTTTAAAACAATAAATAAAAACTTTGTTTGAAAGCATAAATAATTGTTTTATTTCGTTTTTTAGCCATTGTTCTACCTTTGACAACACAGCACTATATATGTGAAATGAGCATGAAAGATTGATTGATTCATTCTTTATGGTTTATCAACACTTTTCAGGTTAAAGCCAAAAAATGTTTTTAGATTGTAAGAATATTTTTTTGAAGATAATAATTATTTTAGTGATACAATTCTTATTAATTAACTTATAGCTGGAGGAGAAATACTGAAGGGTATTTACATGTAAGTGAATATAACAAACTCAATGGCTCTCCAATAAACAATTCCAAGCCATTATACATTACACAACCCCACACATAAGCTTACAACATCTGGTATTACTAATCAGTCAATCTAGGTACTGGCCAGATATGATGTTATGGTGATCGTATGGGAAATGGTGTTCAATGTGATGTGAACATAAGCCGAGCTTGTAAGACTATATTTACATACAGGTTTTTTCTAAGTGATTTCTGTCATTCAGAATTTTCTGTGGTTTCCAGCAGAGACATGACTAATGCAGCCAGGTAAGTTAACAGAAGAGTAATTTATGAATTATTCTTATAATATTCTTATATTAAAACAAAACCATATTTTTAGAAAGCTAGAGACACCAAGCAATGCAATGTTGTAAAAATAAATATTTATTTCAGGAGACTTCTTTATTATTGTCCTATTTTTATATTTAAAAAGTGAGAGACACCAAGCAATGTAATGTCTTAAAAATAAACACTTATTTCAGGAGCCTTCTTTATTATTTTCAAATTTCAGGACTAAATTTTTCTTATTAAAATTTAAAGTGAACCTCAGAGTTTTAGATATTCTACAAGTATTTCCTGAATTAAAAAAAAAATTGCGAAATACTGATCTAGACATCGCTTCTGCATGACATTAAGATAGGGATGGTCAGGTATAATACTGAAATCTTTACTCATGACTGAAAAAAAAAAATTTTTAAGACCTATGTTAGTAAAGGAAATGTGTTTTTTACAGCCATATCGCATTGAAACCCCAGTTCTCATCCAATCACCAATCATACTACTCAGTACCCAGTGATTGCTTGGGAATACCAAGTACTATTGGATGTACAGATGGTGTGATGGATAATGAATGAGAAATCATAGAACTGAGTTCAAATTCCAGTCAAGTTTGTTACATTCACTTATACACAAATACCCTTGAGAAAGATTTGAATCGATCTATTCCCTTCCTATAATAGTTACTGAGTTTTGTTTTGGTTTGGTTTGGTTTATGGCATAACCTCAAAGGGTTATTTAATGCCTACAAGATTTTTATTGCTGATAATATTTTTTATCTGTCTATCTATCTATTTCAGTCTATTTATATCTATCTATCTATCTGGATGTTCATTTTCTATCAATCAATCAATCAATCTATCTAAATGTTCCTTATCTATCTATCTATCTATCTATCTATCTATCTATCTATCTATCTATTGGTTTGGTTTGTTTTACGGCATATCAACCTCAATGGGTTATTTAATGCCTACAAAATTTTTATTGCTGGTAACAATTTTTTACAAAAACGTGCTGCTGGTATTAAAATCTTTTACATTTTCATAGTGTTTTGACCCCAGTTTTGGGGTTAACTATTTGCCCATAGTTGGGACCCTAACTGATGCTACCATCCTAGATCAGGGTGGACCTGGAAATAACAGCAATTAAGAGGTGTTTCCATACAAAACCTCAAAACCTCTTAATCAGAGACCTTGCTGCCAGATGTAGTTTACCATCTTACCCATGACACAGATATAGTTTATCATCTTACCCAGGATGCTGAAAAATCTGGTAAAATTCATAAAAAAAATGAGGCTGACTATAATTTCTATCTATTATATTAAATATCCTGCACATTATTTCCACAAATCACTATGGTAGTTTTCAAAGAATTAGTAAAAATTAAAGTTTTTTTTAAAATGTTTACAATAATGTTCCAGTTGTACAAGACCCAAGAGCCACAACTAGATGCACAGTTTATGAAGCATGTAGGGAAGATAACAGTTAACACTAGACTTGAACAAGTTAAGATTTTAGTGATTAGAGAGGTATCCTCTTGGGAATCAGTTCCGCAAACCAGTCATTTCCTCTGTTTTCCATTAATGAAATACAAAGGAAATGAATGATTTGCTAAATTTAAGATTAAAATATAGTGTCATTGGTCACATCATAGTAACAGAAATTAGCCTTCTGTTCATGGAGATAAAGGCATACTTGACAGGAAATAAAACAGACAGAAATAACAGGAAAAGCATGGTAAATTGTAAGTTAATTTCATATAATTTATTTATATTATTGTGTGTATTGGTGTGTGTATTTTTTAAGTTACAATTGTTTTATTGTACATGTGATAAAAGGGAGAAATTTACTCCGTAGTATGATAAGCCATATCACAGAAAGAAGTCTGATATGTGCTGCCTGTAAAAAGGTTTGTGGTGAAGAGGTTGAATTTAATGTCTTTTGGTGGGATGGCTGTATTTCTGGCAGGAACAGTTTTTATTGCATGCTGGGAGTATTTTTATTACTTTTAATTTTTATTTATTTTATACAATGTTTTTATGTTGTTGTTTTATTTTATTTTATCTATAATTTTTTTTATTATTATTTTATTTTTATTTATTTATAATAATAATAATCCTACAAGAACTGGTGGAACTAAATAATATAGTTTGTGTGAACACATTCCATGACAGAGCAGTGAGGGGCTCTCAACCTTTTGTTTGTGTGAAAAGAGCTAAAGGGTGGAAAATAACTTGTCAACCACAAGGACCCAGAGACACTTTTGAACTAGAAAGGGAAGGTCAGGCAGCTCTTGTACATATACATGATATCAGTCCTTCATTTTTGGTGGGATCTGGCTCTTGTAAAGGTAGAAGATAGCAGGAGGGGTTAGGTAATTACTGGGGCAGTACAAGTACCATTTTTCCAGAAATATGTAAACTTTTCAGATATTTTTCTCTTTACTACTATCAATTTGATTCATTTTTGCAATCATCAGGCAACAAGAAATTACTATATACAAAATGCACGAGGACATAGTAGTAAAGTTTATTATTAGTAGATGTTTTGCTCTGTATTTTGTTTTATATTTTCCTCTGTAACCCCCTATATTCTAATGGCTTTATTGCCTTGCTTGGGGTGAAATGTTAAAAAAAAACCTTTCATTTTATGAATAAATTAGTAAATGTTCATTTCATTTGATTGACGCCAAAGTTTTTTATAATGTCACTCATCAGGGTCAGATTAATTTTAGAAGTTTGTTCTGGATACTGTACAGTGTGTTTTATATGAAAAAAATACAACATCTCACAAAGTCAATTGATGTATGTCTTTTTAAAACAATTTTAATCATGGAGCATACATTTTTTTTTTGACTTTCTTGTTATTATAATGACAATGTTTTCAGTTCCTTTTGATCAAAACATTTGTAATTTTAAATTAGTGCATATTATATAATTATAATTTATAATTACAACTTTTTCTTCTCTGAGCCATATAGGATGACCAATATTACATAGTTTTTTATGAAATTTTCCAGTTTCTTAATACTTTGCTTAGCTTTTGGAAGGCATCTTTTGCTGTTTCAATATCTCTTCAGATTTCAATGTTATATTTTCTATTATTTGTTAACATTTTTCAGATATTTAAGTTTTTGAACTTGCTTGATTTTGGCATCTCAAATTCTTAGCTCACATCTTCGGCTGTTCCTCTTGTTGCTACACCGTAGATTGTCTTTTTAAAATTGATAGTTAGGCCTTTCTTCCACCTTTCCTTTACCTCTTCTCAGTCTATAAATGTCCTTTGTTAGACATAGACCTTCTTCAGATCTACCCATCTTTTATATTCATGGGTGGAAATGTACCATTATTCTACTGTGCTGACCTGATGTATGTTTGTAGCGGTGGATATAACATGCTTAGGCGATCATGTCTCTTTTTGATTCATAATTGACTTGGCAGAAAAATTCCCACAATGAGCTGCTGTTACTTTCTGCAGTAAGCTGGTTGAGGATGATATACTGTAAAACAAACTAAACCGATCACTACAATCTTTTCAATTCTAGGATCAACTGTTATCTATCCTATATATCATACCACTTATTCTCCCCTTGTATGCACTTACAACAACCTCCTTACCTTAGCCTATACTTTGAGTGGCTATTGGGCCTTGTATTGGATGATCAGTAATATTCATCTTCCACCTGTAAAAATGACTTTTTACTGATGGATTTTTGGAGAAAAACATTACCCACAATAAAAATTTTGTAGTCATTAAATAACCCATTGAGGTGTTGATATGCCGTAAAACAAATCAAACCAAACCAGATTTTTAACATTATTAACCAGGTTACTGAAACACAAAAAACATCATGTTGTAATTAAAAATTATAATTACAGAGTGTGCGGAAATTTTACAAAGCAAATGTTTGAACAAGCGGAACTGAAAACAGAATTATGTTAAAAACAACGTTAACGTGGAATGTACACTCCATGATTTGAAATTAGTTTTAGGAGATATCCAGCCATTGATTTTGTAAAAGCTGTTGATGTTTTTTTTTGTTTTTTTCAAGAGAAACCGACTGCACAGCAACCAGAATAGTATTCCTTGTTCATGTTTTCTTGGGAATTTCTGTCTGCCAATGAAAAACTTCCTCTTCAAAAACAGCTTCAGGTCAATGGCTTGTTCACAATGGTTTTACAAAATGTAAAATATCTTTCACCACTGGAGACAGTATTTCATAATGTGTATGACATTTTTATAATGCATATAAAATAATTCTAATAGGTATCAAGAAACCATACACATATATTTAAATTTGAAATGTGACATTCTAAATATGCCAGGATGAAGTTAACATCTCTTATCTATGATAATGACAACATTTGGTACTTAATAATGACTGAAACTATAGCATAGTAGTATAGAGTCACAGCTTTAATATACTAGTGTTACTATTCTAGTTTTCGTAGCATGTAGGATTTCACAGGGCACAATTTCCAGCCCTACTTCCAATGTTTTGAATTATCTTTCTCCTAGACAGAGTTCCAAAAATAATTAGAGGAACCCTTTCTAAGGGCATTTCTGTAAAAGTGGATGTAAAGACATTGACTAGAATTAGAACTTGGTATGCTGATCACAGTTTCTGTGCCAATAACTACAATGCAATGCACACCTACTAAAAAAAAACAGATAAATGAACATGAATAGCATTGGTCCCAATTGGCATAGGAATGACTACAAAAAAATGCCTATGTAAAAATTTATAGACAAATCATACAGACGCATGCTGGGATTTCTTCCTAGCCAATAAGATGGGCTTCTTCTCAGTCTCATCAGATAAAGTTCTGTTCTTTTTTGTCTTGAAGCCAGAATACTACGATTGATCATCTGTATCCCCTTTTGTGTGTTTACACCATTGTTAGTTTGTGAACTCTTTGCCTTATTACTATTGCCTTACATTATTACTGTTTTTTTGCCTAATTATTGTTGATTTACCTTATTACTATTTCTTTGCCTTATTACTGTTGCTTTGCCTTATTAATGTTTCTTAGCCTTATTACTGTTGTTTTACCTTATTACTGTTTCTTTGCCTTATTAATATTTCTTAGCCTTATTACTTTTACTTTGCCTTGCATATATTGTTTGCATAGGAATGACTGCAAAAAGTGCCTCTCTCCAATTTTATAAACAAAACATACAAATGCATGCCGGAATTACTTCTTAGCCAATATGATAGACCACTTCTCGCCCTCATCCAACTTAGTTCTGTTTTTTCTTATCTTGAAGTCTGAACACTGCAATCACTTGTCTATCCCCTTTTGTATGTTAACACCATTCTTAGTTTGTGAACTTTTTGCCTTATTATTGTTGCTTTGCCTTACATATATTGTTTACATGCTCTTGTTAGTTTTTATTACAAACTTTGTCAATTCTGTTTGTTAGGCAGTTCTGCCAATTATATTTAACCAAAGCCAATTACACTAGAAACAGCTTAGCTACAACTTTGGTTTGGATGTGCAACAATTTACTCAAAAATTGGAAGAGTACAATAACAAATTAGACAGAGAGATCTTGTTAGTTGAATTTAACAAATTCATTCCAACTTTTTAGAATTAATTCTTGTTGTCTAAATATACACTGAATATTTTACAATGTATGCCTATTAGAGAGCAAACAAGTAACTCTTTCTGACCATTGTTAGTTTAAGCTAATCCATATAATTATGGATTTATTTCACACTAAGTTAAGGCTTGAAAATATTTAACTCATTTCTGTTCACAAAATTATATCTAATACCATTAATGATATTTTAAGTTTAATCCTTACAAACTATAGAAGACAGAGCACATGGTTGTCAGCAAAAGTGACATCCTAAAATCTAAGCTGCATATTGGGGACGTCATAATCAAGCAGGAATAAAAATTTATTTGTTTAGGGGAACAGGTGACAGAAAACGTAATACACAAATCTGAAGGTGCATAGGAAAATGTGAAAGATGCCTTCCAGAACTGATGCAAGATATTAAGAGATAGGAAAACATGCTTAGGAACAAAGAAAAGGATGCTGACCAGTGATGTAATATCTGATCATGTACAATCCTGGACAATCACGTCACAGATGAAGAAGAGACAAGGAGGGGTAGAGATATCAAGCTGATGGTGAATTGTAGGAATACCACAGACAGAATATGTGAGTAACAAGGAAGCTTTAAGGAAAATAGAGACTACAAGTAAAATTGTATTTAAAATCAGAAAGAGAATGCAAATTTATAGGACATATAATGAGGAAAGAAGTCCTAGAAAATATAACACTCATAAGACACATTGAAGCCAATAGAAGCAGGAGTAAAGTGTGAGTAAACTATTTCATGAATTTGTGTTATTGATGGCTGAACAAAGACAAAAAGAGTCAAAAGAAAGGAAGTTGTAGAAAGGTATGATCGCCCATGTCCTGAAGGGACAAGGCATATCAAACAAGAAATATGAAGTATTTTCCTTATGTGTATACAGAACAAAAATCTCTTCTTCGATGTGGCATATTGTTTGGTAGGTTATTCACTGCTTTCCACTTGCTTGTAATATATCCTGTGAGTGTTAAATTCTCCAAGCTTTCTTTCCTCATTATGTGTTTTAGAATTTCCAACTCTCTCTTTCTGATATTAAGTGTCCTTCTTGTTTCCATTTTTCTTAAAACTGCCTTGTTACTCACATATTCATTCCATGGTATTCTCAGCATCCTTCTGTAGAACCACATTTCTGTTGCCTTATGTCTTCTCTTCATTTGTGAAGGGATTGTTCAGCATCCATTGCCATATAAGAGGATAGATATTACATAACAGTTGAGCACTCACTTCTTTGTTTCTGAGAAAATTTTCCTATTTCTTAATACTTTGTTTAGCTTTAGGAAGGTATCTTTCCTTATGTCAGTGCAAAAAATGACAGATGATATTTGCAAAATGATTACATATACATTTGCCATGAATTATAACAGTTTATGTAGTCAAAGTGTTTAAATGAGAAATGATGAAAAACAACACTCAGTGTGTGGGATCCAATTTCAAGTGTTAAGGGGAATTTCTTTCCAATTTTCTATACTTGTGATAAAAAAGCATGTAGTAAAATTAGTAATAAAGTAATAGTAATTAAGAGTGTATTGAGCAAGAGTTATGGGATAAAAATCAACAATAATAAGATGGAATAAAACTAGTAATAAAATAGTAGTAATAGTGAAGAGTGCATTGAGCCAGAGTGTTGTGATAAAAAGCAACAATAATAAGATGGAATAAAACTACTATTAAAATAATAGTAATAATGAAGAGTGTATAGAGCCAGAGTGTTTGGATAAAAAGCAACAATAATAAGATGGAGTAAAACTACTAATAAAATAATAGTAATAATGAAGAGTGTATAGAGCCAGAGTGTTTGAATAAAAGCAATAATAATAAGATAGAATTAAACAAGTAATAAAATAATACTAATAATGGAGAGTGTATAGAGCCAGACAGCTGAGATAAAAAGCAACAATAATACGATTCTGTAAAACCAGCCTTAAAATATT